TATATCATACTTGATGATAGTCAGTGTTTCCCAGAAATACATATCTTACTTATTTCACCAACACAGAAAAACTAATGAAGCACAATGTTTTTGCAATTTGGCTGAATTTTTTTAATTGCTCTTGAGTTCATTTCACTCTATTTTGAAAGTACAGTTGTTAACTATGTCATGTTTCCATGATGGCAAAGTGACCATCTCACTGTTCGGGGGGTCCTCAGCTTCTTCTTCTGTTAGCTTTTCTTTCTCCAGCTCCACCATCATGGACTGCAGCTTACAATGCTAATCTTGCAGATCTGGAACAAGCTGGAGGTTCACTCTAAACCCAAATGCACAGCTGCTGGAGAACTAGTTCAATTGCTGCTATGTTGAACTCCCAGAAGATCACGGTTGCCAATTGCAGGTCAAAACTGTTTGACTGTTTTTAATTGTCACAGGATTTTACTAACTGAGGAAGTTGCTAGATAAACAGCTGACGACTGAATTATTAGATTTTGGTAAGTGGCTGTCTTAATCATCTCAGAGTTCAGCTGTGAGCTTGAGGGCCACATTAATCAAAACTTCAAAGACTTTTGGAACTAATGCTGCTAAGCTGACTCCACCAGGGCTCTAGAGCAGAACAAGGACTGCTATGGTCTGCTGCCGTCTAAGACAATGGAGCTGAAGTCCATCGACACAATGAGGAAGTTACAGGAGAAGAAGCTAATTACTGTCCTGTTATTGTCACAAAGCACCTATGGAAAAGTTTTTAAATTTACTTCTAAAAAAAAATTAAGCAATACACCAAGTCCAACTAGTGGTGTATGAAATCATGCATGCACATGTGTGCACAAACAAATGACCAAACAAAGAAACAAACTAAAAACTGTTGCAACACTATAAATGAAATTTTGAATTTTGAGTGCCCTGTAAAAGATTAATAATAATTTTACTCAGGGTTTATTTGAGCATGCAGCTAAGGTTCAGCAAAGGTTCCAAGTAATTTTACGCATGAGGTCAAGTAAAAAGAACAAAAACCTTAATCACCTGGATTATGTAATAAACCGCTGGAGACAGTTTGTAATAGACAGATACATTATATTTAAACTGCTATTGAACGCACGTCTGTTGTTTCCATTTTTTACTGTATATTTTGCTACTGAACTGAGTCACCGTGTCCTGTGTTACATAATTAGGGAGGAAGCCAGATATTGACAGCTCAACACTTGATAGCACAGAAATGGGGAGAAAGAAGCAGCAGAAACACTGAGCCTGGAAAATACACAGTACAACAGTGTTTAGGGCGTGACAGTTCATCCCAGCCATCTGCTGGGATGGAACTAATGTCTGGGGTGTGGGTGTTGTCTGCTTGAGGCAAGCATTTCCCAGTTGTCAGGTGTTAGCATGAGTGGGTGGAGAGGAGTGAAGAGATATTCCTTTACAAAAGCAACTTTGCTCAAGAGGCTGAAACTGATTTAGTAAACAATATCTCGATAAACCAAAAGCACATTCGCATTACAGGCAATGCTGCTGCACATGAGTGTTTCACACAGTGCTGTTGAGTGAGTGGCTGTGGTCAACCAGTGATCACAGTATGCACATTAAACGTGCCATTTCTACCGTGCATGTAGCCACTAAACCTAATCCTTGAAAGATTAGCACCAATTCTTGCGTTTAAGTGCATGATAGTATCACAGACTCTGTAATCGAAGGTGATGTGACACAACAACACGCACACAGTTCTTGCCACTTTCTGTGCTCCTTACAGGCCACAGACTGTATACATGTGTTGAAAGTAGCCACAATGACACTATCCTCTGATTTGGTTTGAGCATTTTCCACATTACCATTCTGATTTTTGTACACTTCAGTCAGGACTTATCATATCCATGGTAGTCACACAAGGCGTTTATGTTATTGTTGAATCTATTTCTATTTATATCTATCTATATCTATATCTATCTATTTGAAAAAGTACATCATGTTGTTTTGGATAAGTCTTGAAAATAGCAACCAAGGCCACAACTCCAATCAAAAAATGTTTACAAAGATATCATGAAGTCAAACAGAAGTCATTTTGCTATAGCCCTATGTATAATAGACTCCAGGCATGCCTGCTTTTTTGGGACCACATTTTTACATTACAATGCACCAAATAGGCATGCTCCCCAGGTGAAGAACAAGCAGGTGACAAAGTAGTATAAGAGGAATGACTACTTGGCCTACGGGTCTCCAGCAGTCCATGTCTGTGTCCACAACGGAGGATAATCTTGGCTTTAAGATTTAATGCACTATAAAGAACTATGCTAATTCCGCACTAAACTAATCATAAACCTTTAGCCTTTATGTTAACAGTAGCATGGTGCAGGTTTTCTTGTAGCAAACATCATCTAAAGTAAATGAAAATATAGCAGATTTTGGCAAATTCAATACATAGACCTCCCTTTGAAAGTCTCTTGTTGCTTTACATAGTTTAAAGCTAAATCTTAATGAATAACAGGACTACCTTATAAGTCATCAACTAGCTCTACGCTGTATAACAAGAATAAGTCTTTTAGCATTGATTGCATGCAAGTACCCATCTAGTATCCAGAGGTAATGTTAGCTAACTAAACAAGCTAGCTACTGATGGTAAACTCTTCAGTTTACCTGCACATACATGTCTGTGTCTGCTAAATTATTCTTATCTATGCTGGGGATGAATATTTATCCCAACTTCTGAATTTCAGTACTGCGTCTTAGATAAAGTCTTCAGTGCAAACAACAGTCAAATAAAAAAATCGACTTTTACTTTTGGCAGTTGTGATCCTATGACACCGTTTACGGTAGATCAGGATCTGTTCTGTTACATGTTTTTAGCATGAAAACTACCAAATAAAAGAGAAATTAACTAGATTCACAGCATTAGGAGACTCAAATAAAAAATCTACTTTGTGCCAACCGCTTGCCTGATTGTTGACATTGAAATTCCCTAAAATGTGAGCTGTGCAGCTTTGCAACAGGTGATGTTGACAGGAGAAGCCACACACCTGACTGCAAAGATTAATCCTAACCTGACCACGTTTCACTGCATCATTCACAGGTTAGAACCTTAACTTGCCTGTGTGCTGTTGTTTATTTTTCCAACATTTAATTTCCAATTTTGGTTTTAGTGGCTACAGTGCATGCCAAAGCTACAGCTACAGCTATGGAGCATGCTCTCTCAGACTGTAACTGAAGTGTGTCTCACGCAGGGGGCGCGGGCACAGGAATGGCCACTGGTGCTGTGGCGGCTGGCACAGCAGTCCCCGACCCAGACGCCGGCTTGGGTACCGGCACGGGCGAGGACGCCAGTATTTGCTGCAAGCGACGTTTGGGCTGCAGCACCTTCAGAGGGTTGAATCTGAGGAAAATAAATAAGAGAGAGGAGGACACCACAACTACACGTTGATCCGTCTGCAGTTACACAACTTTTCCTGTAAAAACATTAAACCCTCCAGACAGATTCAGCTTGGTTCCAGTTTAAGAGACCATTTATGAGTCTGTGCCCAACACATACACCATAGCAAGCAACAGCTAGATGACAGCAAAGACTATTTAACACATCAGCTGAAAGAAACGACACATTGGCTTTCTGTGGTATTAAAGTACTGGTAGTGTCAAACTGGACCACAGAAGAAAAGCAATGTCAATCACTCATGCATTAAGTATATAACAACACATTACTGCAGCATTCACATTCCGAAACAAGTTAATGGTTGTGTGAAAGTCAACAGTGGTCCCTACAGACAAGAAATACATCTTATCCTTTATCCTGTGTCCAGTAAACAGGCCAGGTTAGTCCAGTGGCTAGAGGAGAGAACATCAATATACTCAATAAACTCTGTTCAAGTCGGTTGCTATTTAAAGCATTTAGAACATACACTGCTATGAAAACAGTATTTGCCCCCTTCCCAATTTCTTCTTGGCACACTCACAGCCTTCAAACAAATGTTAAAATTAGACAAACAGACTGAGTTTATATAAAAAGAAAAAAGTTATCTAAACCTAACTGGCCTTGGTGGAACAATAATGACGGGTTACGCCACCCTTGGCAGTAAGAACTACAATCAAGCGTTTGCAATAACTGGCACTGAGTCATTCATTCACATCGCCGTGGAGGAATTTTGGCCCACTTAATTCTAAAAAGAGGTTAAGATATTTGCCAAAACATCTTAACTGGACTTAGATCCAGACTTACTTTGAACACTCCAAAATTATAGTTGGACTTACTGTTTTGGATTAGAGCTGCATAAGGTTCAGGACACAAGCTGAGGGATGGACTAGTGAAAGTGAACAATGTGGTTGATCACAACAATTTCGTAAATAATAAAGAGCTATTCTATTCTATTCTATTCTATTCTATTCTATTCTATTCTATTCAATACATTATTTAATTAGGGAGAACAATTACTTTTTCCGTGTAGGGCCAAGGAGGTTTGAATAACTTATTTCCTTTAATAAATGAAATCATCATCTAAAAACTGCATTTTGTATTTATCTTTGTCTAATATTAAAATTTGTAAGATTTATTGTCATTGTAAGAACACTGTGGGACGGGATTCCAGAGTGCTACCTCATTTGGAAAGGGCACAATGAATGTGGAATGTGTGATGATCTCAACATGTAAATGTAGTAAATAAAAAAAAAAAAAAAGAAAAGAAAAAGAAGGCAGCAAATACTTTTCATAGCACTCTAGTTCTCAATTTTAGGTCCATTTATTCATCAACAAGTCTTAGACGAGTTATTTACAGGAAGTACAGAAACAAACTGAGCATGGTGCCACTTTTTAAATAAAGACAGATATATTTATATGATATGTTGGTCTTTTACAATTTGACTTATTATAAAGCTACAATACAAAGTAACACATGCCAGTTTCCTTAACTGTTTATTCAGAAGATTTTTACACATTCTTTACTGAAAGTACTGATAACTGAGTTTCAGTGCTAACTGCAATGCCAGCTTGCCATTTGGTGGTGTAATTTTGTAAATGTTTAATTATTGCTGCTACAAATCGTAGCAGTAACAGTAAATGTTGCCTTAACTTTTCATTTATATTTTTTTAATCCTTCATAAATACTGACAGCTAACCGTGTCGGAAAAAGCTCAAGTCTCGCAGTTCCCACTGCAGTCTTAAAGGCGCACACCCCACGCGTCATTAAATCGCTGCTGAAAATTTTTAGAATTTATAAAAGACTCATTAATGGAGTTAAATTACTTATTACTGTTTAAAACAACTGTCAATTAATTTTAAAACACCCTATTTTCTCTCACTTATTAAAAAGTGGCACCACATTGACTATGAATATTTGTTAAAGATAAACACACACACACACACACACACACACACACACACACACACACACACACACACACACACACACACACACA